GGGTTTATTTTTTAAAGGACAGCCTAAAAATATGTAGCCTTTTATTTTAGTGGGCAGATTTGTTGTTTTTCATTATTCGATGTACTGAGAAAATGCAGTGAGACCCAGCTGAAGCTAGAAGGGAGGTGTCAGGTAAAGCTACTGACCTCTCTGCAACTCTACCTTCCTCAGAGGATGAATGTTCTTGATGCTCATTTGAGGGATTTGGGCTTCTAAGTTAAAATGCAGCATTTTAACCTCCCACCTGGCCCTAATGATAATGTCCTCTGTACCATCATCATCATCACCACCTTTACTGCCACTATCACCACTATCACCAACACCACTGCCACCACCATCATCATGACTACCACCATCACCATCATCATCACCACCACCACAATCATCAACATCACCATAATCACCATCACCATCATCACCATCACCACCATTATCAGCATCACCATAATCACTATCACCACCACCATCACCATCACCATAATCAGCATCACCATAATCACCATCACCACCATCATACCATAATCACCATCATCACTATCATCATGACCACCACAACATCACCATCATCATCACCACTACCACCCTCACCATCATCACTATCACCACCATCACCACCATCATCATGACTACCACAACAATCATCACCACCATCATCACCATCATCACCATCACCACCATCATCACCACCACCCTCACCATCATCACCATCACCACCATCATCACCACCACCACCCTCACCATCATCACTATAATTACCATCATCACCATCACCACCACCATCATTACTATCACCCTCATGGCCACTGTCCTTGTCCTCATTACCGTCATAACCTTAGTACCATTTTATTTACTTCTTCTTGCACAGCTGGTTCTTCCACCTCTCCTTCCTCTTCCCCTTGTTCAGTTCCATGTCTCCTTTTTGGTTTTGTTTTTTCCTCTAGTTCCTCTGGCTCGGGATCAAAGTTGAAAGTGAAGAAGTTATAAGCTTCTTCTGCAGAAGGGAAACCAGGTGGAACCTAAGGAAAGTGAAAACAGAATTTCGGGTCAGATAAGCTGAAACAGGCTCTGTCCAGTTCACCTCTGTACAGTGCAGCTCTATACAGCAGCTGCCTTGATGCTAAGGCCATCAGGTATGTTCTAAACATCCAAAGCAAATCACCTTTGTTGAAGGTATGGCATCCCCTGTAATGAACTTTAAAAAGTTCAACAGGTAGCTGGTGAGCTCCTTTAATACGTAACTTTAGTAAGTTACTTTTTTATAAAGCAGCAATTATTTCTACCCCAACAAACATGTAAATATATTCCTTACAGCAGTAAATACTTTAGAAAAGGTGATAAAAATGCCCTAACGTGAATTCACCATTTTGTAGGACAAAGCTGAAAGAGTTTGATTAGTTATAAGCAACATAGGGCTTGATAACTTTTTTTTTTTTAAATATTTATTTATTTATTCAGAACTGGGGTATGGGCCAGAGATGTGGAGGGTAAGAGGATTCACCAGGGACAGAGTAGGGAGCAGAACAGGCAGATCGACGAAGTACACCGCTGAAGGGAGCAGCAGGCGGGTCAGGAGAGATCTGCCTCGCCATGTGGGTCACCTCCGGGGCAGGCGGGGATCGAACTCATGCTAAAGTGGCTTAAGCTTCTTAGTGCTGTACTTTAACCTGCTGTGCCACCAGTGAGGGCCATAGGGCTTGATAACTTTTTAAAAAAGATTTTAAATCTTCTTTAGTCTGTAGCTTACTTTTTTCCCCATAAGGAAAGCTGGTGCCATTTCAGAGCTCGACAAATAGTTTTGTTACCAGCATTTCCTGCCTACCATTTCCAAATCAGGTCATCTCCTGATCTCTGCAGCTAGATGGTAGAAATTTAAAGTAGCAATCATTTCAGATGCTATTTTTCCTTGCAAACTCAGATTGAGTATATTATTATTTCTCATTGGCTATTTTTGGAAAATGCAAACAAACAAATGTGAATGAAAGCCCACAGGTTTTAAGGCAATCGTGATTTTAAAAAGATGAATTTCTCACCAGGGGTTTAGACTTGTATTTTCGCGCAGAATCACGAAACTTCACTTGGGGATGACTTTGGGACTCATCTTCTTGTTGAAGTCTCGGTTCCTCTTTGCCTGGCTGCAGGATGATGACACACACAGGCTGAAATTAAGACACTAAGAATGCCCTCAACACCCTTCTCCTGCTCATTGTCACATACCCCCTTGCTAAGGGACTAACTTCGTACACATGTCAAATACATTGGAAGGTTAGAGATAGCTCAGTATTTTCTTACTCCACTCTTGTCTCTTTCAAGATTGAAAAATAGAAAAATTCAGTTTAGCAAACCTGAGAAGGAAAAGTGGTTATTCATCCTATAGATTCATAGGTTTCTAATTCCCTGAGCATCATTCCAGAGAGTCTATGAAGAAGAGCGTCGATAATGTCTGAGTTTGGTAAGTTTTCTACATGCCCGAGGGCTTTCTCGAGAGCCGTGAACACTGTACCTTCTGACACTAGACAGGCCCGGGACATGGCGAACTCACTCCCATGCGGGGGTCCCTTTCTTTCTCCAACAACCAGTCCCCAGCCGCTGCTCCCTCATCGCTCCTGACCCACCCCTCCTTGAACCTACCCACGTTTTTTTCACTGATATATGCAGATCCCAAGCCATTCACAAAACAAGGGATAATCTTCTGCTATGATAGAATCGTTATCATATTCGAGACCAATACTTACTTCTTAGCATGAAATTATATATTTTAAATTATGAATACAAGGTAGTGCCCCTGCCTGGGGACCTTCAAGAGAATTTTCCCATAGCTCACCTGTGTTTCAGGACCATGCCAAGCACTGCCTGTTCAGACTGCACCACCTGGACTATTTTCCAGCATTTTGTGGTCTGAGTTAGGCTGGGCACCGCCAGGCACGGCTTACTCATCCTACAGGACCATCAGACAACACCCTGGAAGGATGTTTTCCATGTGAAAACATGGGAGAAATATCTACACAGAGGAGTACCCTCACATCACAGCAGGCATGGCACCTCCTAAGTGCACAGCTCTGTTCTAGAAACTTCTGGGAATTTTATACTCTGCCTCCTTGTTTTTGATCACGAAACAGAGATGGCCATTTCTCACCTCCGTGCCAAATCCAGTCTCCAGTTCCTTCTCGCTGGGACTTCTTAAGCGCCTGGGCCGAGGGGTGGGGATTTCCTGCAGCAATGTACTCTCTGCTTTGGACTAAAAAGTTAAATAGCAATTTACTGCTTCATAATGTCAGCGAACCTTGGAAAGTCTCAGACACCATCTCTATGGCACAGTCGGTAAAACCTCCACGGTACCCTTCTTTATGAGATAAAGGTAGGTGGAAGGTTGAGACAATAAAGGTAGGTGGAAGGTTGAGACAATGACTTTAAATTCTTCTTAAGCATAATTTTCATCTGTACTAGCAATACACAATACATTAAAATTTAAACAGAGAAAACAAATTTAATCGTATGCAAATCCAAGCAGTTTGAGCAGACAAAGCTATCCAGACAAGGCCTAAGGAGCCATAAGCAGCGCCGAGCAGAGTATGCTCATGGTTTTGCTCACCCTTGCAGCCTGTAATTTCTCCCTCATGCGTTCCCTCATGGAAAATTCTGCAAAACCTGTTCTGGAAGCTGAAGGAATTGGAGGCAAGCCTAAAACAATATAAGAAAATTACTTTAAAACATTTTTTTTTGTCCAAAGGGAAGATCAGAAAAAAAAAACACGAGAGTAGAATTTTAATTTACAAATTTAGAACTTTCCATAGACCCATGGGCGAAGGCTGACCATGGTCCGTTTGAGGTAACAGGCCCCTGTCCTGCCAGCGCCCCCACACCCACTTCACTAAGAGCCAACAAGCAACACTTGACTCCTCAAGGCTCAGACACCCCCGACACTTGACTCCTCAAGGCTCAGACACCCCCGTTCCACCACCGCTGGGGAGGGGCTCTCAAATTTGTTGATTTGAGAACTAGGCTCGTCAGGTGAGCGGAGAGTTCTTGAGACAGGATTTCTGGGTTCAACCCTCAGTATGCTGCTTACTTTACAAGAGACACCTTTTCTGCAGGCCTGGCCGTACTCCTGGCCACAGCACGAGACTGCTGGTATTTTGTACTGGCTGTTACCTACGTGAGCTCACGAAATGCTACGTAGCCATTGCAGGGGCACCCTCACAGTCTCAGGCCAGGCCTGCGGGAGGGCACAGGTGTGTGAACTTGTGAACATTCTGGGAGCCTCCCCCATCCAGCAGGTGAGAGGCGAAGATCTGCACAGACTGGAAGTCAGAACAGCCTCCGCCCTGTCTGGGGGTGTCTGCGGGAAAACCGGGCCCCCACCGTCACTGGAGCACAGAGCCAGCGGAGATGTAAGCAATGGGCATGGAGCTGTTTAGGGGGCCTTCTTTAGACAGCAAGGAAGGGGTGAGCCCCAGAATCGCCCTCCTCTGCACCAGACAGTGTCGACATCTCTTTGGGTGAGATCATTTAGGGAAGTGGAAAGGTCTAACCCCACAGATGACCCAGCAGCCCTGCCAGGTCCACTTTGACATCAGCGACTCAGCTCCTTTCTCTTCTGACTGTCACAGCTCTGTAAACTGAGCTCCAGCTTGTGATTGCAGGAACAGGTCTCAGAGTCAAAGGTGGGGACGGCTTCCAGGTTGGAATCCGCACGTTGCTCGTCTAGTAAACTCTATCGATCATCGACACCATTTCAGCTGAGCGACGATCTCACTCCCAGCTCTCTCGAAGGGGAAGAAGCCGGGGCCTTTCGGGATAAGTGATGCCTCTGCAGGTCCGCAGCTCTGGGGTGGGTGAGGCGCCGGGGATTGGGTCCAGTTCTGTACGTGCCCGACTGCTCCAAATCGTTATGGACGAGGGGAAAGAAGACAAAGTGCTGGGACAGGCGTTCATCACATTTGGAACACAGTGCTCCGTGGAGGCCAAGTGACAGGAGAGAGGCAGGAGTTTGGGGCGAGGTTATGAGGTGCTTCTGAGGCCTCATCCAGGGGGCAGAGTAAGTTCTCCATGCAGTGGGGGAGGCACGTGGAGAGAGGAGGCTGTCGATCCAGCAGCACTTCTGGGAGCTTCACAGGCAGGTGCAAGCCCAGATCCCAGGCGGCGGTGCTGGGACGTGCTGGTGAGATCACAGGGGCGGGGATCCATGAGAGCAGCTGCAAAGAGGGTGCACGAAGGGAATGGCGGGGTGACTTGGAGGGGAGGCTCACAGCAGCCGCTGCATCTTTTGCACACCTGTCAGACATGCAGATTCTCAGGAATCCGAATCTGGAGGCGGAGCCCAGCAGCTTAGGTGAGGGAGGCGCTCTTAAGTGGGAGGACCTTGCTTCGGAGGCAGAACTAGAGGGAGGTGGTGTCTGAGCTTTTGAAAGAGGGGACTAAGGGTTTGAAGCTGAGGGAGGTTAAAAACAGAGAAGTTGGACTCTCATGTTTATTGCTACTTTATTTACAATCAAAAAGACATGGAAACAGCCCAAATGCCCAAAAGTAGACGACTGAATTAAAAAGGTGTGGTATATATACACCATGGAATATTACTCAGCAACCAAAAAAGAGAAACCCATGACTTTTGCAGCAACATGGATGGAGCTGGAAGGGATCGTGCTGAGTGAAATAAGCCAGAAAGAGAACAAAAAATACCGGATGGTTTCACTCATAGCAGAGTATGAAGGACCAGGGGAGAAAATAATAATAATCATGAACAGCCATATACCAGAGACATTTTCCGGAGGTGCAGTGGAGAATGGGATCAAAAACGGTGGGACGGGGATTGCACTGCACTGTGGTGATGGCACAGGGTGATTTGGTGATGGGCAGCCCACGGGGATGACATCGGAGATGAGAAAATGCACAAAATGATGTAAAAACAAACTATTACATTATTAAACATAATAAATATAAAAAAAGATTAAAAACAAAACAAAACAGAAAAGTTGGGAAGGAGGCACAAGGCCAGAAACCTGGCTCGTGCAGGGTCGGAGCCAGCGGGGTTGAGGGGGGCAGAAATGGTTAACTAGCGTCAGGCCAGCGACAGACATGAACAGTCCTCAGGTGCCAGCTGCCCTCCAAGAAAGCGTCAGACGCTGTAGAGCCTTTCGGGGGCCAGAGGACGTGGGCGGTGGGTGAGGGCCCTTGTGGAGAATCACTGGCCCTTGCGAATCAGCCTAGTGAGCCCCTCCCAAAGCGGGGGCTGTACCAGTGCCACGTGTGCTCTGGCAAGGGGCAGCACCCTCTGCCCACCTCTGGCCAGCCCTCTCCTTTTGTAGAGCAGGACCAGCGGCCCTGCAGCTCCTCGCTGCCAGCTTGATGCGGACCTTTGGAGCACGCCTTTCCGCAGGGAGGGAAGGAGGTGGAGGCTCTGACTCGGGCAGCCATCTGCCCCTCTGCCCCGGGAAGGGGGTCGGTTAGCTCGTGAAGAAGGAGAGTAGGCAGAGGCCCACGAGGCACAGAGAAGAAGGGAAGAGACGCCAGGCAAGGTGTGGGCTGGCACGGGCCGGCAGGTCCCTGGGCATCTGCTTTTGCCAACGAGAACAAGGTGCCGCTTCAAAGCCCTTTTCTGAGTCTGAGCGAGCCCACTTCCTCAGCTGCTCTCTCTCCCGTGTGTGAGAGAAGAAGCCATGAAATCCTACTTCTGGCAAGCTGCCCCTTCGCATCTGGGGCGGCCTGGAGCCGTGGAATACACAACAAAGATTAGAGTCTTGCGAAGACTCTTAAGAGAGAATCGAGGTCTTCAGGAAAATCTGAACCATATGGCCTACAGGTCATATCAACTTATTTTAAATAATCAAGTCATGGGACCTGCTGGTAGCACAGGGGGTAAAGTCTCAGTGCTATCCAGCGCTCCCCGGCCACAGGGGCAGGAGTTAGATAGCAGGGAGCTGACCCACGTGGCGCAGCAGGCCTCTCCTGTCTCCCCTTCAGGAGTGGATTCCAGTAGATCCAGCTGTTCTGCTCCTCACTCTGTCCCTGGCGAGTCCTCTCCCTCCTCCCCCCACCCACCTTTGGCCTGTACCCCAGCTCTGCTTTCATAAAGAAAAAGAAATCTTGGGGCCCTCCCTGGTGGCGCAGCGGGTTAAAGCACAGCACTGAGAAGCTAAAGCC